CCCCAAAACCCCAAAACCCCAAAACCCCATGAAGTAGATAAATTTAAAAATGATTTTAGATTTAGGGAAAATAATAATGAAATTAAGAATAGCTTTTAAAGCAATTAGTTTCAAAATTGACTTACTGTTTAATTTATATCATAATGATTCTTTTTTGTTGATATTATTACTACTATTTTTCTTAGACTAAGGGAATTCTTATTACTGGTTTTGCTATTATGTATTTGTCTATTATTGATTTTGGTTTTGAGCAATTACAACAATAGGTTATGTGTTGCTGAAATTTTATGCCCAATTCATATTTTTTATCCGAAAGAATTGGTTTAGATTTTGGGAGTTACTCACGTTTTCTTAGTGATAGTGTATAGTGTAAGTTCCAGCTTTCTGCAGGTTAAACACCACATTTTAATTTATATTGCTGATGTAATTGGATTCTTGATTAAACATTTTTTCAAAGTTGGGGCCAGGTTGAGTCATAGAGTATTGTGAGGACATGTCCTATCTCGTATCAAATTTGTTCTTCGTGCTGTGGTTTGGAGTATTATTTTGCTTGTGTTTTAAGCTCCATCTCTTTTTCATCTTCTACTTTTCAACATACTTTTTAAATGACTATTGCTACTATTACTTTAGCAGCAAATTTCCTCTATTTTCATTCGATTTCAATACAGCACTCAAATCATCTGTGTTTCTGCTCGATATTAGTGAATGAAAACTGACAGGATTATTCTTATTAATGCCGACATTAGGACCTGTTTCTTTCCGACTTGATCTTATAGGCTGGTTAGTCTCAAAAGAATCGCAGTCTTCATATATATTATTGACTAAGTCTTCTAAAGAGTCTTCTGCAAAGAATTTTCCAGACTTGATTTTAAGTTTTTTCTAAAGAATATTTTTTAGATTCCCTTTGAAAGGCTATATTTTTGGTTTCCAATCCAAATCTAATTATTAGGGATTAAAAGTTCTTTTCGCTCCATTGAATTTGATTTCTTCCTCATCCTCATCATCATCTATGGTTTTGTTGGAGTAAATAATCTCATCGTTTAAAACAGGCTTAAGTGAATTCATAGGCTCAATTCTCTCAGAATTCTTGTTGTTGATTACTTTTGCTAATTCTTTTAAGTTTTCACTGTTTTAATGATATTTTAGACCCTTTACTAGTTAATTCATTGGGGAATACTTAGGATCCTTAGCATCCTCTGTTTTGGCTGAGTCTTAATGAATAGGTAAAAGATTTTCACTATTCTTTTCTATTTTAAAGGGATGAGGCATGTGAGATTTCCTTCTAGCATTTCTAATATCTACAGGAATCAGCTTATTAAATGAAGGTCTATGCAAATGACTTTAACGGCCGTGTCTTGTAGAGATTATTTTATCAGCTGATGATCTCTGTCTAGGAAGCATCGATAAGTTAGTTGGTGATATTCTGCTCTTGGATTATTTCATTCTTGGTGTTCTAGAATGCTTAAATTCCTCATCATACTCATCTTCATATGGGATATCTTCTTTAATGTCTTCAAGCATGCATATAGGATTATCCCTCATAAATCTCATGAAATCAGTATTTTATTTTCTAAGTGGTAAAAAGATATCATTTTCATTTTCCTCTTTTTATTCCTCAGAACCACTACTAACTTTCATTATTTCTTCTTCCTTTTCTTAATGGTTACTTTGATCATCATCGAAAAAACCAGTTTTATCAAATGTCTTAGCTTCATTCATAGTTTGTCCTTCATTTAACAACCTATTTTATTGTTCATCATCACAGTATTTCGAACTAAAATCTTGATTGGGTATAAACAATGAGGATTTCTTTCCTAAATTTATTGTTTATCTTCTTAATTTTGAGCTTCTTCTGCCTCTAAAGTTAAATTAATTAACAGATTCGACTGATGTCCTCGGTACTTAAAGATCTGTCTTGTAATATATGTATTCACTGTCATCAAAATTATCTAATTCAAATGGACTTAAGTTATTTTTCTTTTGTAGAGAATTTTCTAATATTGTTAATAAAATCAGTTAAGTTATTACAATTTAACTTCTTGTAAAAAGTTTTGAGATTTCCTACAATTAACCTGAATTTTCTACAATCAGTTGCAATGTGATTTCTTTGATCACAGATGTAGCATTTAATTTTTAAAGGCTTATATTCTTTTTAAGAAGGTATAACATTGCTGTAGATTTAATGATATGCATCCTAAGTAATTTACTGGTTAATTTTTGAAAATAATTACAATGGCTTCTGGATAATCCTCAGCTATTTCTAGAAATTTATCTCTTTTGATTGTCAAAACTTCTGTGAAATCTCTACTCTTGACAGTATTAGTTCTTGGACAACCAGAAAAGAATCCAATTTCCCCAAAGTAATCATCTTTCTAAAAAATATTTCAATTTTGTACTTACTATAAGATCTGTAATGTATGTATAACTTTGCCTATGGATCACAGCAACTTTCCCTTGAGTTAAATAGAATATTTCATCTCCAACATCCTCCTCAACTACTAAATTTTCATCTGTAGAAAAAGACTTTCTTTTCATTGCAAAGGTTAAAGAGGATTTAAAGTCAATTTTAAAAGAGTCTAGAGCCCTAATTTTATGAAGAATTTAACCATTAAGATAAATGGTGATCCTATCTCTCAAATCGCTATTTAGTAAGTCCATAAGCTCTTTTTCTTCAATCTTAATCTATTTTTTGAGCTCCCAATTATATTGCAAATACTTATTAATCCTAGCTATAAGATCCTTAGGAATGCTTTTAGAACTGAGAAACTAGTTAACATACATCATCTTTTCCCTAAAGTCAATCAAATTTGAGTAATCTTACTTATACTAGACGGCTAAGATATTATAACGGGAGACGATATGACCAATATCATTGATTATATAAGCATAAATGGCACATGCAACAAGCATAATGAATATTACTATAAGTCTTTCTTAGGTAGTCTGAGGCTTTATATCTCCATAGCCTACAGTTGCCATTGTGGTAATCGTCCAGTAAAGTGAATTTACATAGCATTCAGATATAGGAGCATTTTGAAGACCTGCATATGTGATCCAAGTCAATGACTCTTTATCTGAAATTGATATCTATTATAATGTTATATAATTGTAATACAGCTACAGTATAGAATAGGCAAGCCATCCAATGAGCAGCAAAAAATGTAATTATCATAAGTTTCATAAATTTAAACATAGCATTTGTCATATCAGATGATATCTGATCTTGCACCTAGAAATAAATAAGAATTGAAAAATTATTACATGAACCATAAGTCTATCTATTTTTAAAAATCTTATTAGTCTTATCATTCTAAATACCATAAGTTGATTAATATAGGACTCAAACAATCGAAAGTTTCTTGAATTAGCAGGCTAAATAATTAAGCAAAGTAATTTACATATGGGCTTTGAATGTCTCTTAGTTTAGTAATAATTTAAGAATATGGAAACGAGCAAAAGAAGTCAAATATAAACCAATTTTTTAAATAGTTGATAATTAATTCCCTTCGTTGCATGATAACGATTCCCTTGTGAAAAAATCCAGTATTAAAGTTCAGGAATACGTCAGTCATAAACCACACTTCATTAAAGGGCTCGAAAATTACTTAGTACTCTGGCTAGTAATCCATAAATGAAAACTCGACTGGTAACATTAAAGAGCAATGAATGATCAAGAAGCATGATATGAGATCCCAGACAAATCTGAATTTACTATCTGGATATATAGTACATGGGCTTCTTTTGAAATGTTTTTCAATCCTCTTAATGGGATCTTCCTCATCATCGTCTGAATCACCCTCATTAGTCGTTTAGGATGTCTTTTAAGACTAAGCGAACATAGACACACCTCTATGAAACGCTTTTATTCTCTTTAAGCCGGCTTAAAACACACCTTCAGAACCCTGTGAATAAACAGAATTTCTTTTTTCATCAAAAGTAGCTTTTTTATTTTTCAATTTATTATTTTTGCTTTTGCTTTTTTATTTCTTCTCATGCTTTTTCAAATCCTCTGCCAGATACTTCATGTTCTTTTTTTGTGTTTCAATTTATTTTAGATTTTGCATCTTAACTTCATTTTCACTTATGCTATCACTTTAATGAGTTCCAATCTGATGTCCACCATATGCAGTTATAGATCTTCTGGAGGCTCCATGATTGTTTTAACTTAGAGTTTGAGCAAATTTTTTTATGTAGCTTGAGTTAATTTGAGTCTTAGATACCTTAGAGGGGAATTATATAGAGTTGCTAACTAAGCTAGCATTATTTTTTCTTCCAGTAAGTTTCGAGGGAGATAAACTTGATTTTATTTTATTGTAACCAGGAGTCTAGGGTTAAATAGATATCTATCTTTAATTTTAGTATTTTCTAGGTTGCAATAATGGCGTCTAAGCGTAGATTTGAGTTGGTCTATCTATCTGCATACTAAATTTCTGAACATAGGTTTGATTGAGAGATTTGTTTAGCTCTTGATTAGCTCCAATATTGAATAATGCATTTTCTTAAACTCTTTATGTTGAAGAATTGAATCCTGATCCTCCTCCATTTGTTTGATTAATTTATTATTTTCTATTGAAATCGTCACTTTTCAAGCTACTGATCGCAATTGACTGAATATTGTTGATGAAATTTCTTTGTTTATAATTGTGATTGAAATTGAACATAGTATATTGAGACTAGATAGGATCAAAGTTTTCTGGAGATTTTTTATTTACTGTTTCACCCCCTATGCTCTAATTAATTGGAGTAATGGAATAGTTATTTTTCTGAAAAACCTCTTGCTAAAAAGTTGGGAGGTTCTCTAACTTGTTTATCGTATTTTGTCCTCGCAGAGCAGATTTTTCTGTTCCAATATAACTGTTTCCAGTATCAATATCATGATCTCGAATTAGATTTTTCCTCACGCTGCTATCTGTTTTTATAGGCATGAGTTTGCTTTTGAAGGAATTGATATTCATTTTAAGTTTTAAATTGCAAGTATATATTTTTTTGCCAATTGTTCTAAAAAATTTATTTCCGATTTCATCAAATTTTTATAATGTTTCATTAAGGGGTTTTGGGGTTTTGGGGTTTTGGGG